TCTGAAGGCGAACAATCTCCTGATTCTATGGAGGAAATCTGTGTGGTCACATGCACGTCTCCGTACAGATGTTTCACTTGAAATTTGTGGGCCTAAATGAATTCAGCTAGTACAAACATTTAAATACACATATATTCCTTACTGATCATTGTTCACTGTTTAATTTTCTACAGCCACACAACATTTTGAAGCAGTCTCTTGTAGCTCATGGTCACTCACTGTGGAACAACTACGGCACAAAAAAAAAGTCATTTGGGATGACAAGGAGCACACTAAAGAGAATCTCTCTCTAATGTAGGATGCAATTATCTTGAAGATTTGACGTAGCTTGTAATGAAGCAAATCTCACACACACACAAACGAGCACCCTACAACTGTTTAGATGCAGTGAGGATGAAATATTTGGATTATAGTGTATCAAATTAGACTTTTAAGCAGAGAAGAAACCCTAATAAAGAGACTTATGCTGTTTTTGCAGGTTGTATCGAGTATATTTTCAAAGCCTTTATGAATTAAATGCTGCATTGGAGCAGTCTTACAACTTAAAACATTATGAAAACAAATATTTACACCCCGTCTACATCTGTAGTCAGGGTATAAGTCCAGACTGTAGTCAAGACTTTCCAAATAAAGTTTCCCCAAAGACCACTTGTACTGGTAGTCCTGTAAATTCCCAGTAAGCACCACCACCACCCAGAGATCCAGAGAAAGATCCCTGAGGTACGCCTGTATCACCGGCTGTGTCTGCCAGCAGCGCCCTACCTGCAGATCCGCTCCTTGCAGTCTACAGTCCATGTACTTTTCCCACGCGTATGACAGCTCAGTCTGCTGTGGACTGGCCATGTCGTCCACACCTCCAGGTGCAGCACCAGTCAGGGCGTTGAGGAAGTCGGGAATGACAAATGTCTCCTTCTGGTTTCCTCCCCGATCCTCCAGGTGGCTGAAAGTGGCCCGGACGGCAGCGAACGAAGCCCCAGCTGTTCTCCTGAGTCATTCATAGCAGATTCATGATTCACGGCGCCGCTTTTGCCACTTTTAAACTGTACTTCTGCAGAGAAACACACACACACACACACACACTGTCAATGGTTTAGCAGCCAAAAGCTGGCGAAGCTACTTTCGCTTTTGCACTCAGAGATAAAACACTGGCTTTATGACGCACTTGAACCTGACTTGAACCTTAAACTTCGGCCAAACGAGCTTTGACACACTGAAGCATAACCAAAACAAAACGGACTCAGCTAGCTAGCTAGGTATCTGACAGAGCCTGCGTCAACTCCACAGGCGGGTTGAAGCAACTCATTTCCGGTGAGGGGTTCTGTTGTCAAAATAAAAGCATCTAACTTGGTAGTGCAGGTGAGGGGATACCAAACTTTTTCATGTCAAGGACCCCCCCCCCGAGGATAGATAGACATTAGACAACGGACCCCTGTTTTGAGAGAGGATTTTAAGGATTGTTTTAAGAAAGTATTGTTGTAATTTCTACGTCAAACAATGATTGAACAAGGGATCACTATAAATTACAATCAATAACAACCCTTGTTGTTTCAACTTCCAAAAAATGTGATAAAAGTTAAAATATTATACCTCTCCTTTTGCTTAGGAGCCCCTACATCTCACTGAAGGACCCCCATTGGCTCCCATACCACTGCTTTATTTAATTCTTCTTAAGAGTATACTTTCACTAGAAACGATGATTACTGTACTGTAACAATGACGCTTACAGGCTCACAAAAATGATGTTTACTTGAGAGGCATAATAATATGTCAAATGTAAACTGTGCTAAGGTTGAATAAGAAGGTATTTATTCCTCTAATTACACAACAACACACAGTAAATATAGCTGAAGCAAACAATGTGCATTTGTATGTGATAATGTGTGAAGCATTTACTTCCATAATTCAAAACGTTCAGTCAGCACCAAAAAAAGCAGAGTTATCATTCTTTGTAAGCCACTTCAGGACATTTATCTTCTCTGTTTTAAAGTGACAACATGACGATTAAATCAGCCGTCCTCTCAAATATTTCCATCATCTGCGTACCAAAGTCTGCATATATTCTACACTTTATTTCTTATTTAGGATGGACTTCGGTAAAGCAATCATTTTTGAACAAGTCATATTTATTTTAGGATACACAAATCTAGCGTGATATACGTACAGGACTGATACTAACCATGAAACACAAACACTGTTCATCATTTACATTTTCCACTTCAGAAAACGTCTTATTTTGAAAATTCTGCCGCGACGGTCGTGGTTAACGTCGCGGCTAGCTTGGACCGCAAGAGGCAGCGAGAAATAACAAGATCATTTCAACCATAATATTTGCGTAAATGCCACACTAGCCTCGGAGCCGCTTTATCTAATGCGTCCTACAGCCTGTTTTGCATAAGAAAATACACATTCCTGAATTCTAGTGCTGTTGTTACCAATCCTAAAGCTGGCGGTGTAGCAGAGAGAAACGAGCACATCGTTAACGGCCGTTAGCGACAGTCCGACTACAGCTAGGCGTTTATTTATTTATTTATTTATTTATTTATTTACATTCATGAGCCGAGTGGGGGTGAATTAATTTTTCATACATACCTCCGTTTTCCCCATGAATTAAAATCCAGCTGATGGTAGCCTTCGTCCAGCAGAGACCACTGTGTGTGTGTGTGTGTGTGTGTGTGTGTGTGTGTGTGTGTGTGTGTGTGTGTGTGTGTGTGTGCCCTCAGCGCTGACTGCGAGGCACGAGCCCGCCTGAGTACGTCGGAACCTCCCAGAACGTCAACGGCTGCACTGGAAATGTCCGTTAACGACGGTTGGTCAAAAAAACTATTTATATATTAAACTCTTAGTTTTATCGGTGATGTTTTATTTTTTTTTATTTGTGTTTAATAAGTAAGTAAACATGTAATTTCCGAAATAATATTTTAGTTTTTAAGGTGTGTGTGTGTGTGGGGGGGATATTCCTCGCAGACAGGTTTGAGGGTCGTGACGCCGCTGTGTCTTAATAAACGCTCACAGCCGGTGACACGCCCACTGACCCCCTGTTCGTCTTCCTATTGGATGACACGCCACTAATTCCTCAATCAATCAAAACACCCCGTTCAGGCTCCGTGGGGCGTTTGCTGGTCTCCGTAAATCCGAGACTGCAGCGTGATAACGGTAGATTGATTAAATAGACTGTGTCCTTGGAGGTGCTGCTGTTATAAGTTTATGATAATAGATATTGTTTGTCTTTTAAATTCTGTTCAGTTACACTTAGTTTTGCTCGTTTCAGTTACATTTTTATTAGTTTTTAAAAAAATATATATTATAATATATTATACATTTTCAGGGGGAAGATTGAGGACGTTCAGACTACAACTAAAGACATTTCCTGTATATATTTTATTGTATTTCAGTTTTTTTTGTAAGTACACAGTATCATTTAAGTTAACTATAATAACCTTGTTGTTATGACCCTTTCAGTCCCAATCTGAAATCATACACACTAATTCTTGCTTTATCAGTACGTGTAATTTCCATTTTTTATCTTATCTTTATTTATACGTTTCTACACTTGACTGTGATTCTTATGCACCAACGCAAAGCAAATTCCTCGTATGTGTAAACGTACTTGGCATTAAACCTGATTCTAAGATGTCATATATAAACTGTGTCTTGCAATGGGAACGTAGCCTTAGAGATAAAATCAACTAGCTGAAAAATGACTTGCTAATATGTATCATGTATATCAAGTAATTTTTCAGAGAAGAAAATAAATATTTCCTTTGCTGCTTCTACTCTTGGCAACAATCAGTAGAATAATCACATTCCGAGTTTATCAGGAGCCCCTTAACGCACCACTGACGTAAGCAAGTGTCTCCCTGTCTGCTGCAGTGTACAGGCTCTGGTACAGGTTCTGGTACAGGTTCTGGTACAGGTTCTGGTAAAGGCTCTGGTACAGGTTATTGTACAGGCTCTGGTACAGGCTCTGGTACAGGCTCTGGTACAGGCTCTGGTACAGGCTCTGGTACAGGCTCTGGTACAGGCTCTGGTACAGGCTCTGCTAAAGGTTCTGGTACAGGTTCTGCTACAGGCTCTGGTACAGGCTCTGCTACAGGCTCTGGTACAGGCTCTGGTACAGGCTCTGGTACAGGCTCTGGTACAGGCTCTGGTACAGGCTCTGGTACAGGCTCTGCTACAGGTTCTGGTACAGGCTCTGCTACAGGTTCTGGTACAGGTTATTGTACAGGCTCTGCTACAGGTTCTGGTACAGGTTATTGTACAGGTTCTGGTACAGGCTCTGGTACAGGTTATTGTACAGGCTCTGGTACAGGTTCTGGTACAGGCTCTGGTACAGGTTCTGGTACAGGTTCTGGTACAGGCCCTGCAACAGGCTCTGGTACAGGCTGTGTGGGGGTGGCAGCATTTGGTTTCCTGCTCATTAACAAAGCAGAGACGTCATGCTATTGACACATTATATTTTGGAAATAGGCCACGTGAGAACAACAAAGCAAATGGCTCATTTTTCTGCACTCAAAGGCAGCTTATAGGTTACAGGATTACCTGTTAGGCAACATGATATTGCTCGTCATTAAATCCACCCCAGTAATGTGTCACCACTTCTTTAAGTGGCTGATTCAGTTATTTAGGAAAACCTCTATTTAATTAATAGGAAATGAATGATAATGTGGAGAGAAATCCTACATTAATATTCAATATATAACAAAAAAATCCTTTAATTTGAATAGTAATTAATGATAAATCTTTCCTATAGAAGTAGGGTCCATAAATATGACCTTATAAACATTTAGAGATTCTATGTTTTTACATATAAATGTGCCTTATAAAGGTAATTTGTCCAACCACTGTTTGTACTGTACATAACAACCTATTCCTTATTTGCAAGGTACTTTGGCGGCACCTACAGTACAGCAACACAACACCAAACATGGATTTGTAATGAACTCTCTCTAACACAGGATGGCACTGTTATACTAAAGCCACAAGACACCAGCACGCCAACATGTTAGAAAAAAATGTTTTATTCTTTTTGCTGCCCAGCATGTAAACTCATCCCACAAAGCTTGTACTAGTCACACTCCACAGTAATACTTCCATGAGATAAGCTGATCCGAACATGCCACAGTGTAGCACAGCTGACATGAGATGATGTCATGCATTGCTGTGATGAATTTCACATTAAATTACGTATCCCTTGAGCTTTATTCTCAGTTTATGTGCACTCAGGAAAAGACAAAATAATAGTGTTTATATTTACAATTCTCAAAGGCAATTTTGTGTTGTTTTTTTTAGGCAATGGGAAATGTAAAATTGTAGATAAGCATAACACTGAGCAATAAAAGGCACAATAAGTTCACCTCTGGTTTTCAGTGGCATTTTCAGCAGCTATAGTTTAGTAATGCTGAGTGGCTCCTAATTGTTTCTTTGCGCTCAAACATCCACAAACAGTGTCAACTCTCAGAGCACAGCCGCCTTCTCTCAGTACCCGCCGTCTCTCTCCACACAGCCCACGCTCGCCGCATTGTCGGGGCATTTGCACGAGCGGCCGGTAGGGGTTGCTAAACAGAGGTGAGTGCAGCCCCCGTTGTTCACAGCACAGTAGTTTTGTCCTGGTGGGAGGAATAAAACATACAAACTCTCATTACTAGGGGACATTCCAGGACACTTGTATAAATCATACGCCACCATGGCAGGAAGCACCAGGAAGCAGTTCCTTCACTGTTTGTGCAGCAGATATATACATACTTAAAGGAAACACCAAGCAAACTCCAGATGTTGGAGGCCCCCTGCTCCCTTGGCTCCGCATTCCCTGGCTTGCATAATGCATGCAGCCTTATCTAGCGGGGAGGATGAGGCCTGGTGCTGCACAGTAACATCCGTAATCCCTGCACTTAATGATAAATACTAGCTGCAGGGTTCCTCCTGTTGTTTTTAGGTACGAAGGAGTGAACCTGTGATTTTTTTTTCTTGATCACAGTCTGCACTCGAATTATTCACACAGAGGGGCACAAGAGGTCAACAAACTGGGCCGCTAGGCCCCGAAGAGCAAAGGGAATAGATAATGAGCCTGACTTAAAGGTAGCCCCCCCAAAACGTACAAGGGTCAAGCTATTTCTAGGAATTGCTCTTTAGAGGGGCTAGATGCAATACTCCAGGCATGAAAAGAGTGTTTTATGACCGACTGTGAAGTATATAAAAAGAAAAACACTTAAAAATCAAACATTTTCAAAGGGTTTTTTATGGGGAATATGTGGCCCTGTTGCACTGGTATACTAACCTGAAGGACACTGGGCATAGGCTGTGGTGATCCCATATAGCTTGGTCCGTTTCTGAGGCTGGAACTCGTCTGACTCCTTTCCAGTATAGTGGTCCACGGCAACCACTGCATCCCTGTTGTACACACGCAAGAGTTTAGCAATCCAGGACTACCCCAGCTTGAGAAAATGTAAGCATCCTGCCTGCCTGTGTTTTGTATAAAGTCTGTGTCAAGAATGAGTAAGGGTTAGGGTAGGTTTTCTTAGCCATTACTGACATAGTTTGTGCGCCTCCCCCACCACCACCTCTCAACCTTCTCCAGCAACAAGGCTACAGCACAGGCAAGATCAGAGGGAGGCCCTGGACAGGTCATTCACAGACGCTGAGGCTGAGAAATTGCAAGCAGCTGCCACTTTTTAAGATGCTTCCACACACAAATAGACAGCCCCAACCCCCGCCTTTTTTTGCCGTGGCTAACATACAGAATCGGCCCGCGTGGGAAGAAAGCTCCACAGTCTTCAAGAGTGGGAGTGTCCCAGCCTGGAGGGACATCAAGGGCACATGCTTGAAGTGTTGGGAGCTTTTTGACCTCTGACCTAACCTCTCCTTCCTCTACCTTGACAGATCTGGGTTCTTACATGGCACGGTGGACCGTGGATAAAGCGTGCATTATGTCTTTGATGCTATAAATTCCAATGTGTAGTAATTTAACTAATCAAGGTATACAGCCTAAACCCCTTTAAACCACCTTTATAATTAAGTAAACATAATACATACAAACCTAAAGCATACTAGGATTTCATCCACAGGAATACTAAAAGTAGTTTCTTTTACTTACACCACATATGTTGTCATTTGATAAAAAAAAACCAATACAAAAAGTCAAACCTCTGCCAGTCAGTGTAGTAGATGTTCTTCCCGAAAGACGTGATTCCAAACGGGTACTGAATACCCTCCATAACCTTTCTGCGGTCACCCCGGCCAGGATGCATGCACTCCATTTTATGTGTGCCTGCAGGCGAGAGATTGCGTTCATTGCTGATCACAGGGCAGACATAATTTCATGAATGAGTCATCTGTCTGAAATCTCCAGTACCTGCATCTGCCCAACACAGCAGAGAGCTCTGAAAGTCGTAAGTCAAGCCGTTTGGCAGGCCGAGATCGTCTTTAACCAGCACCCTCCTGTTGGATCCGTCCATGTAAGAGGTCTCAATCTTGGGAGCATCGCGGTTCCAATCGGCCCAGTATAGATTACTGTTGTGAAGACAAGTTAGTCAGTTAAGTTAAAGAGTTTTAGAACAGATTTCAACACAATATTAATCAAATCATAAATGTTATTCTTCTGCCTATAAATCTGAGCTAAACCTCTTTAGAGTATCAACACTTGACCATTTTTGATTCATATAATAATATTCACACAAACAGTTTGTTGTATCCCAATTTAAAGGAATAGTTTGAAATTTCAGGATGAAGCTTAACTGTTTTCTTGCTGGGATAATAAGAAGATCATGTGTTTCCAATATAAAGCTAAAGCCAGCAGCTGGTTAGCTTAGTTTAGAATAAAGACTAGAAGGAGGGGTAAACAGCCAGCCTGGTTTTGTGTAAACTAAGGTAATCAAATCTACCTACCAGCATGTCTAAAGCTCACTGATTACTATTTATCTGGAGTTTTGTTGTCACTGAGAGGCTGCAGGCTACAGCTTCATATTAAACACACAAATATTTGTTATTGATGAGCCTTTTTCACCAACAGGGAACCAACTTTGTTACAGTTCAGGCACCTAGTTCTGAACCATTCTGAGCATTGGGACCAAAAATACATTTGAGTTGGAACTTGAAAAGTTGGTTCCCAGCTGAAACAAAAAAATAGCAGGTTTTCTTTGGGAACCAAACTAGGCGTGTCATATTCTACATTCACTGTGCATTGTGCAACACCCTCCCTGATGATAACGCATATGTTTTCTATGGTTGCACTCAAAACTGGTGGAAACGCGAGCTGGTTTGGTAGATAGCACCAAGGTTTCTTTGGTGGGAACTAATCTGGTGGAAAAGGGGCCAGCAAGAGAGCAAATACATTGGACTATTGCTTTGAATGTGTACTACCGAGAACTGAGAGGGGACAAACTTAAAAAAGTTCCTTAACGAATGGCTAAGTGAAAAGCTAGTGAAACAATACACACCCATTGGGAGGGTCAGTGATGATGGCACGGGGGTTGACAAGGTCAGAGTCTATAATGACACGACGCTGAGACCCGTCCAAAGAGGCCACCTCGATGCGATCCTTCACAGAGTCCGTCCAGAACATGGTTCTCCCTAAGTGGTCGATGGCGATACCCTCAGGGCTATCCAGATCTGTTGAGAGGTTACAGTTTCATCGCTTTTTGTCTCTTGACTCACAACTGGATGAAGATGAAGGAGAACCAGTAGAGCGAAAAATAAACAGTAACGCTACCTGATGTAATGACTGCAATGGGCTCTCCCCCCTGGATGCTGGCTTTGCTGATTGAGGGAGATGTGATTTCAGTCCAGTAGACCATTTTCTCCACACAATCATAGGCAACTCCAATGATTACCTTCTCCTGCAGAGGGGTCAACAACCAACAATCTTTGTCGTGCACTTCGCTCAAACAAAAGATAAAAACGTAGAGCACATGTGTTTTTTTGACATTAAAGTCTAGACATAAATCCAAACAAACAGAGCCACACACTGAGCGCTAGCTACTCGGCCAGACTTCAGACCAGCTGGTTAGGAAATCAGCGTAACAAGAAATGCAGATTGCAATTCCAAAGATATAGGACTGATGTTAGCAATTAGTGTGAATGTCACCATGTGCCTCCAATAAAGTGCAGGCTTTGAATGCATGAAGCAGATGGAGGAAATCGCAGGGCTAGAATGCAAAAGTGTTATTAGCAGCAAGGGAGCGACTTGTGTAAGAGGCTGAGCTGATGTTGTGAACACAAATGACAAATACAAACATATTGTAGATTTTTGTGATTGTTTCCTCTAGTGTAATAGGAATGATTACACATACCAAACAGACTTGACATTGTGCCTGAGTTGAATTTAGAGTTGTTTCTTAAACACATCTGCACTGTGAATGATTTCTTTCCTCAGAGGTGCTTATTGTACTGTTATGACCTTTTAAGATCCAGTAAATTATTCCGTTTTATGACTCTATTTATAAGAAGGAAAGCCTGTTGAAAGACCAGTTTGTCTGTAATTGACGACCTGGGAATGAGAACCGGTTGTGACATGTGTAGGAGAAACTACAGTGGCCATGAAGCTCATGAAAAAGGCAAAAGGCTCCATCTACAGCCAGTGTTTGTGCTACTATAGAAACATGATGGTTCAACATGGTGGACTGCATGGAAGGCTACTCACGTAGTCTGTAGATAAAAACAGCTTGTTATAATGTAGTGAATACACGATTCCTATATTCAAGTGATTATACACTAATGAAAACACACCTATAAATATTATATTCTATTTCTGGACCTTTAAAATCTCTCAGAAATACAGTTTGTAGACAACAATATTGCTTTAAACTTCCAGGCAAGTGATTTAAACCACAAAAACCTACAACTAAAATCAAATAAAAATGGATGCAAAGCTTGTGGGACTTCCTCTCTACAAGAGAGAAACTTACAGGGAGATGGAGGACAGGCTTGGCATCATCCTTTTTCATGTTATAACCTTCCAGCGGGACGTGCTCTATCCTGCCGCTCTGGGTGAACAGCAGGTGTGTTCCTGCAGGCAGGGGGTGGACATCGGGTCGAGGGGTGGGTCCAATAGGTGGTGGCACACCACCGTGGTCGATACCTACCGGAGAGAAATATGTAAAAAATGAGGGGCCTTGTGGAGGAACCAACTTCAGTTCAGTTCAGCAACTTCTTCAAAGCCTCCATTGGTTATGCATACTTGGTCTTTAAATACACAGTGAGAGACACTATGGTCTCTTGTTGTCCAGCCTTAAACACGTGTGATTTACTCACACGATGGTCGGCTGCCAGGCCCAGAGCGAGTCCCAGGGATCTCCTGTCCGTTACGGTCCACGCACCAGCAGTGTCCTGAGCTGCCGTGGCACTGCATAGGTTCATAGGCACCGTTCTCGTCACATGTAGGGATGTACTGTCCAACCGGAGGTCGGGGGCCTCGGGGACCATACTCCGTCACAGCCAGTAGGCTGTCTCTGTGAGTCTCACACCGTGTTTTTGTCCTCTCTGAGTAGAACAATGAAAAATAAGCCACAGAGTGGACACAGCCGCAATGTCACAAACTTAGTCATTTATATCTCCTTTTGTCTCCTTTAAATTCAGCTCCAAAAAAACTCCCACATTCTTCGTGAGACATGACAAATTCCTTTTGCTCTCCAGAGGAAGAAATGAACAACCGGTTCCAGCTGGCAACAATATACTCTGGCGAGGAACTCATTTTCAAACACTCCTCTCGTCCAAATGGGTGGAATAAACAATGGTGAGAATAAATAAGGATTTTACATTTTTCTATTATTGAGTCTGCAACTAAATCAAAAGAAACTATGACCAAAACTAATCTAAAATCCCACAACAGACAAAAAAGACCTGTAGCAGCACAGACTGAATATAAAATCAAGACAGCAATGCAGTTTAAGTAAGATATTTGGGTCTGCCTGTCCAAAAGACTTACCTGGAGAGCAGTAGAAGCCGTCGCCATAATAACCTGCCCTGCACTGGCAGGTAAATGATCCCTCGGTGTTATAACACACGGCCTCCTGATGGCACCTGCCTGGCTGGCACTCATCAATGTCTTCAGGCAGAATGGAAGAGGGTGAGCGAGGACAAAGAAGAATCAGTCATCCACAGTTAAAATGTTTTCTGTATGTCTGTATGTTTTGTCTTGTCCTTTTAGGGATCTACACTATGATCTGGGTCAGCCACTGCGCAGAACATCGAGCAAAGGAGTGGAAAGAATGGAAACTATGGATGGAGCGCTACTGAGGACCGGCCAAAAAAGACTTCACGCCAACTACAGGACGTCCACACATGAAATGCCCATCTGCTTTTTCAGGTTTCACTGTTCAATCACAGCAGATGTATTATGTAATCTCACCTCCCCCGGTCCTGAGCAGATGGTTGAACAATTATAGCTCTAAAGTCCATGTAATGGATTTGAAATCTGGACTACTTGTGGTAAAAGACTATCCTGCTGATTTTATATGTAGCTTGTTGATGCTACATTGCTGCCAACCATTTTTAAAACATGTCATATCATTTTGGATTGAATCACAGGCAGGCAGCCATTAGCTTAGTTGTCATCACGTGATGAAGGTATTTGCATGGAGGGACAGTTTTGAAAACTCTCCTTGTAAATGTGAAAACAATCGAGATATAACGATGAATTTCCAACAACATTTTCATTGCCCGAAGCTGCAAAAATCTAATAATTCTTATAATTTCAGCTTATTTTTCTTCCCTTTCTTCACAAGATAACATTATTCATGAATGTTTACTCATTCTTCTTGCACACATCAACAATGTTTAATTATAATCAATGAGTAATTCGCATTTTTAAACCTATTAGTATTAATTATTCATTAATAAACTCACATCAACCAAATAATAATTACATTTTATCAGCAGCATTGGCAGCGGCAGGAGCTCTGATTGGCCAATCTTTATGGTTTAGATGTCGAGTAATTTTTGGGCGCAATGCTTACACGTCTGTGATTAAACAAGCTATCTTTAAATTAAATCACAACACGGAAATGTTACAGAAGGACACAAATAAGACAATAAAAGGAATACCAAAAACATCGTTAACTTTGACAAACAAAACAAAGGTGAAAAATGTTGCACTACCTATCTAAAGCAAGTTTCAAGTCTGTAAGTTGATTTTTATATTGCACTGAAATGAATAGAAGCCATTGGTTGACTGGATTTGTCTTAACACGTACGTACTGTAGTTTAAATAGCTGGCAGTAATGTGAAGTATAAACATTCATTGATTTATAATGGACTAAAATATACAAAACCATTAATCAAAGTCTAATGTTACAGCAAAGCTATGAACACAAATGTAAATATATACTATAGGTACTGTATTTTACAGAATTAGATGCAATAATACTCATTGATGTATTTAATGTAGTAATTTTGTAGATATTCTGTCAGCTACAAACTCCTGTGATCATTCTTCAGCACAAGCACATATTTGTGTCTCTACGCATTACCTTGGCAGATTCTACCGTCTCCTATGAACCCTGGCAGGCACGAGCAGATGTAGGACGAGCCGCCAGTGTAGCTGCACTGAGCACGCTCAGGAATGTCACAGGTATGGGTGCCTTCTTCACAGGCGTCCACAGGTTGATTAGCCTCTGAGGAGAAAAACACCAGGGAAATACTGTTCATTTATTTTAGTACGGAGCAATGAAAATGAGATCCTGATACGTTAGAGCATCTCAAAATGATCAGACATCACATTATTTTAAACAGTTTATCATTTATCACAACACCTTTTCTGTAATTTTTTATCTTAAAACATTTAGGGAAATATGCTTATTCACTTTCTTGACAAGAGGTAGAAGCCTCTGAGACCGACAAAGCCCAGTTTGAAGACAGGGAATACAGTACTAAGGTGATTTACAGCTGCTCCAACCAGGACTCCGGGAATGACGAAGACATGGTGGGTTCAGGCGGGGAGTGCAAGAGGAGCGTGAGGGAAGTCAGGCATCAGTCAGCGCCCACCTCCGAAGGCCTGAGTTGGGGTTATGCAAGCCCCCAGGCACAGCGCCGGGCCTTAAAGCCAATTTGACATAGTGGCCAAACCATGTAATTCCAGCAATGGTGCAACCCATATGGTTACATTGTGAAAGAAGCGGTTGTAAAATGGTGGTTAAATGTTTTTGGAGCATTGCAACCCTGCAAAATTAACCATTTTTACTAGAATTTGACCTGCTTGAGCTGCAGGATTATATAATTTTATCCAATTAAAGTTAAACCAGAAGTTAGCCAGCTTTACTGAGCCACTGTGGCCCATATGTCTGTGTTCATCTGGGTAATTTCTTTACAGCAGGAAGTGAGCACTGCCTCCAACGCTGTATCCAGTTCTCTTTATACATCCATGGGGTCATGGCAGGAACACCAGGAGCCTAACCCGGCAAGAAAACCACCTTTGTGTTGTTGGACTGAGGGCAGACTGGACACTTCAGTGACTCACTATCGCCTCTTATTGTGGCATTAAGTGATATTACGAGACAAATTTAAACAAATGCAATGTAGACCTAAAACCAAATCACGCTTTCTACTTATATTCTCTGAAATCATAATGTCACTGCAGCAGGTCAAAGCTGTATGTGTGTACTTATGGTTAGTAGGTATCCATGTGCACCACTTACCAATGCAGGTGTGCCCATCACTGCCGAACAGATATCCATCTTCACATTCACAGCGGAAGGTCCCAGGCTGGTTGTTGCAGATAGCGTGGGAGCCACAGATCTGAGGATCCTCTCTGCATTCATCAATGTCTGATAAAGAGAAGAGGCAATTATCATATGCTAATAACTCCCACTTTAGGCCCATGTTTGAGTTTGGAGCTCTGAAGTCTGAAGATTTGTAAAATCAGTGTCCTTATTATCAGATGTCGGGAGATCAGAGGAGAGAGTTTAAATAGATTTCTTAATTACAAATGTTTCAAGATAGCATCTGTCTCAGACACTTCCTTCCTTTTTCTACTGTATGTGCCTCAGAGCTCTTCCTGTATGGTTGTGAACGCAAAAGACTCTTGGTTGTATAGAGCTTGATCTGGAGACCCCACTGGACATGTTAACCTTGTCTGTGAGAATTTTTTTTGTTTTGTTTTCCATATTGGACTCTCTCCGCTAATTGCCCAGTTCCCCAGGAAGGAAGGTTTTAAAAAGTCAGGGTTAATTAAATGATGGCTCTTAACAGATGCGGAAATGGTTTGCTTTAGTTGAAAGCAGAAAATACGCAGTACTGAGAATCAAGCGGCTACTACACCCTCTTCACTGCCTCAAACAATTTAAACTTTTCTGTATTATGTCATTCTTACCATAACATGTGCGGCCATCACCGTTGAAACCAACAGCACACTCGCACGTGAACTGAGTTCCCTGTCCAGGTCGGCACACAGCGTTGGTGTCACATCCGTGTCTTCCAGTGAAACACGGGTTCTCCACTGGCTGCCCTCCTAAGAATTAAGGGTGTATTTTAAAAACAATGTTACAACTATAATATCAATCCATGTGATTTGATGAGAAAAACATATTTAAACATTCAACAATAGCCCCAACTTTTAGTAAAACTATCCTTAGTCAGGATGTTATATGTTATACTTGAGGAAGGAAGAGAGCACAGACCAAAACAGGAAGACAAAAATAGTCTCCATGACCTCACCATTGACGTCCCCGATCTTGTTGCTCATGGCGAACCGGATGAGTTCATTACTTGCATCGTACATGACAAACACCTGGTCCACACTGAGCATCTGAGTTGGGTTCACGCCTCTCAAAGACTCGTCATGCTGGCAGCTCTGGAAGGTGATGGTCTGACGCCACTGGTACGACCTGGTTTCAGTTGAGCCATCGGGCAAAATCACTTTGTACTCCCGAGTGGAGGATGAGGTGATCACTGAAGGGTACGACAGGCACGTAAGAAACAAGTACTTAAGCAATTAGTTACAACTACAAAGGCAGAAAAAGGCTTCTTCTTTTGGATAAAGAGGTTCGGTGAAGTGTAAAAAACGGGAGAAACAACCCAGTGACATTCTCTGTTCAAGCTGTTTCTTACAGTTGTTGCTGTACTGGTAGATCTCAGAGTAACGGTCAATCTGCACGGTGGAGCCGCGAGGCACCTCAGGGATCCGGCCTTCCAGGGTGGTGCTCATCGCCAGGTGGTCATGCTCGTCGATACCTTTGAACTCCTGGGTGATGGTCAGCCTCTCATTCCCAGGCAGAAAGGTCACCTCGGCTTGCCGTGTGAACTCCCCCCCTGCAGAGGACAGAGAAGAGGAGGTTAACTTTAAGACCCTAGCCCTGGATGAACTTTGGCTTTCTGCCTTCTGTCTCAGCTGAGGTAATGCGAGGGGAATTCAGCTGGACAGAGTGAGTAAAACTGCAGCTGTATGGCAAACTGCTTGTAGGAGCATTAGCAATTGTGTACAGAGATGTGTGCTTGTCTTCATTTATGTCATTTTCTAACCAAGTGAAGCATGAGAAAATCACGGGAAGCTGTCAGGTGTCACATTATCAGATATTGTTAGAGTAGTTGTAGAAATCTTTCCCTCACCGATGATACTGAAGCCATTCTTGAATCCAGGCTGCTCCAGAGCAAACGCCCACCCAATCACGCCACCAATGGCCGACAGGGGCAGCAGTGAGGGTCCAATGGTGTCAGTGATGTCACTGATTGCCACGTAGGAACGGCCATCATTTACCACAAGGTATGAGTGGAGATCGTTGCTGCTAAACTCCACTGGAGACGGAGAGTTGCCCACATATACATTTCCGTTCACTTTACCATTTATCCTCTGTGGTTTTCCTGTAAAAACAAACCAAAACCATCAAAGTCAGACACAGAGAAGGGCAACCAAACCCTAGAGCTGAGCTCATAGATTTGGTCACATAATTTCAGTATGCTAATGGACACTTTGGGAATATTTATGAACACAAGAAGTGAAACTGCTCAAAGATATTCCCCAACTGCCACTAATAAGAACAATTTACAAATTGCTGTCTAGATAATCAAGTCTTTATATTAAGATACAGCAACCTTACAGTGTTTTGAAGAATTGTCGGAAGTGTAATGATATTAATAAAAAAATCTTGATATAAGGCTACACTGTCAAAACCGTGGCATTCCACAATTTCACAATTTTAGATATGTTTAGATTTTTTGCCTTTAAATTAACAAGGGATGCCAGTATCTTTGATAAGCTTAGCTAAGCTACAATTTTAAACTGGTAACTAGTCTACAGCGGAAAAACACTGCAGCATTACTGGGCTTAGAGATTAAGGCAGCATAATGACTGTATGTCCTTCTTTTGTCATAAAAGCTCAAAATTCATAACATTAGCTCAGATCTCATATAATACAACAGGAAACTGTGCAAATCATTCCCTCTCCATTTCCCTGAAGCAGTTAAAATGATAAAATGTACACACACAGTTTCAATCTTTCAAGATTAAAAGTGATGACTTAAAACAGAAATGTAACATTACCCTCTGAAAGACACTGTATCCCATTTCCATAGAAGCCAGGTCTGCAGTGGCAGCAGTATCCACTGGAGTAGTCCTTGCAGTCAGCAAACTGGGAACATTTATGTCTATTGTTCGCACATGACCCGAGGTTGTATGAGAACACTGAAAAGATGTAAAATCACAGTCAGAACATGACATAAGTGTACATATTACACTGGTATTACTCAGTTTGAGCTGCGGACTCACCATCCACATTAATATCTGTGTCGTCCACCACCACCACTTCTGGGTTCCCTGGCTGATGTGGCTGATACTGAACTGGGTGGACTTCAATCTGCTCCCCTTCTGACTCATAAGGAGGGTACACCAGTTGCTGTCCATCGGTATACGCAGGTCCCCTTGTATCATCAAAGCGCTCAGGGCTCTCCCGTGGCGTGGACTCAGTGGGAAGGTCAGTGACCTCACCTGGAGCCACGTTGGAAAAATATGGGGAAGTTCCGATCTCGTACACCCATACACCCCGCAGGCCAGAGTTGGTCTCCCTATAAGGAGAAAAGAGACTTTTATAGCCACTCTTCTTGAAACATTGTCCAAACAACAACACTAATCAGGAAATGGTGTACCTATGCTGGCATCCACTGGCTGACTTACTCTGCTAAAGCCCTGACAGATGCCTCGTCATCAGTGGTGGTGCGGTAGTATGGTCCCTGACTGGAGAACAGGTAACCTCGGACCGAACCCTTACTGAAGCCAGCATGCATGACCGCACTACTGTGTTTTACAGGCGTGGAGGAGAACTGAATCCCGTCCCTTGCATACAGGAGAATAGCATACGAAGCAGTCTCCAGGGATGCAATAACCAGCTGGAAGGTGTTTCTCTGTGTAATAAAACATTAGAGACATTGTAAATGACCAGTTCCACCACACAGATCACTTGAATAACCGTGTGATGCTCACATTCTTGCCAACAGCATCTCCTCTGCTTTGAGGTTCATGGGTGGCGACATCAACCCAGGTGACCACCACAGCATTGGTGGGGTTGACTTCATCGTCCTCAGGGAAAGCCCTGTTGATGTGCTCGGCTGCCCGACGCAGAGCATCAGGACTGGAGTCTTGGCGGAAGAAAACTTTGCCCACACCATCACTTGTGTCCAGGTCTCCCTCCAGAGCTGCAATCATGCCGAATTTTGGGGGCATCTTGCCAAGATATGTCGACTCGCTCACTGGCTCTGCTGTGGCAACAAAACCATTGGTGTTGATCTGAAATTAAAAGTTAAAGTAATGGGGATAACAAGAAATGAGATGATTGTAACGCCGTATGACTCTTCATAATAACTAGGATAACAACACATGAGGTACTGTTTCACAGCAGAGGCAAACTCAGTCCGGTCTGACCCACTTTGATCTTTATTCCAAACTCATTAGACTAATGATCCGAGTCAGCTGCCATGTCCTACAAAAGCGCTAACGAACAAACAAGTTGCCATTTAATACAGATTTTACACACTTGAGGGTTAACGTGAACACATGGTGGGCTTGTAAAAAAAAAAAAAAGAAAGAAAAATCTGGTCTCATGTCAAAAACAGTACGCACACGGAGCTCCTTCACTTCCTGACCAGGGGAAAACAAGAACACGACTCCCAGCCCAGGCCACTCTGTTTCCTGTATTTGCCCCTGACGAGCAGCCCCAGAGAGCCTGGCTATTGCACACTAATCTTCATTACAGAAACTTCCTGCCAAAATTGGAGATAAAGCTGGAAAAATGATCAGTGATTGCGATATTGCAGATGTAGTGCACAGAGAGATCTTTAAGGTTTGTGGCTACCCAAACATACCGGGGCTCTGTGGAATATGAATCACACTCAGGAGGAGATGATAAAACCTCCTAATAATCAGAGAAACTGTTTTTTTCTATAACCATGTCTGTCATGAAAAGTATTACTGTTTGCCTACAGGGCACAGACAGCTCAGGGTAGACTGTCTCATAAATGAAAAACAAAAAACAAAAATCTTAGTATAGAAATATGTTTGTGGTGAATGACGGAGGTAGTCAGCAGTTGGGGAAACCCCAGTAGACTGATATAACAAGAAGTGAAATATTTATTCTCAACCTCAGGCTAATTTGTTAATCACAGCTTTTTGCCTCTACACATCTCCTCAGATAAATCTGCTCCTTGGGTGAGATTGAGCACATAACTGCTCCATAAATAACCAATTAAAACTCATTAATTAAAGACGAAGTTTCTTTAAACAGAGTTATCGATCAACATGACTGGTCACACCTAAAGAAACTAAAGCTTGCTGCTTCAAGAATATATCTTTAAGTTAAGAATAATGACTTTTTCTTTAATAAATTATGGAGGAAACTCAGGCAAATGTTAAAACCTTTTGTATATAATCACTTTCTGATAGCATATTATCCACATGCAGCACAATTAAAACATAGATACAGCAGTTTTCTTTGAAAAGGAGAATCACAGGGCATAAAGGGCTGTTTGTCTGTCTGACACAATGGTGCAGCTCTCAGCTACATGTTGCTATTGCCTTTTCCCCCCCAAGTCATTTAAAAGCTCCACATAACTGCAAATAGCAAACAACAAACACATAAAGTCTTAAAGAATTTATTATGTTACAGATAAAACCTCCAAAGCCATTATTTTGCATTCCTGACATACTGTATGTGTAGATAGTACAGGATGTGGGCATTTTAAAACTTTTACATCTGGTTTATGACCCTCTCTTATTGACCCCACAGTTATGTGACATGGATGGGATGGATTTCAAACTTAGGTTCCTGGAGTACACTGGTCTCTGTGTCAACAGTAAAATGATAACCTCAGGGGGAAGCTGTAAGAATGTGTGGACACATACATTCCTAAAGCAGAATCTGTGATAAGTAAATCAATATTTACAAATACTGCAGAGAGGCAGAAAATGTCATACCGTGCCCCAGATACATTCAGCAACTTCCAGGTATTGTTTAAAGTTGGAACTACTGACCCCTTTTTCACTTATAACTGCGCGGGGGTTTCTGGGTTACGCGCAATTGCGCAAGATCGATGGACAGTCCACCCTGACCAATAAATGGCTACGATATTGTACCAAGTTATGGGTTAACTTACAAAGATGTGGTCGAAAGTGCCATCATAAAACAACACTGGCTTGTCCAGTTCGAGTCGGTGCGTCTGGTCATTCCCTCCTTCTAGTAACTGGTCTCTTGCGCTTGGACCGAAGGGGAAAAACTCTCCCCGCGTTATGCTCTGCGCCGTCGCCACAAACCCGAGAAAACTCGCACAGACGAGCCATCCTTGCTCCTGCCAGCCCATTGTTCGTGTTTCAGGAGCAGTTGAGCAGTCCTGTGGTCTGTCCAAGCCAGGTTAGAGGAGAGTGAAGCACAGGCTCTTCTGAAGAAAGTTCAGGCAGAGTTTGAGAGGGGCGGAGTTGAGCTTTCATAAAACCACCAGAAGACTGGAGAGAGAAACGAGAGGTAGCCTATACTTTTCTTTTCATGCTGCTCCTGAAACAAACTCCTGATACTGGACATCTGGAGTGATGGCGTTTGGCCCACTTTGGAAAACAAAAACACAGCATGGCAGGAGTTATAAAGGGTTGGTTGAGGATAGAAGTGAGAAGCACTGAGGTCAGTTTCACATCATACCCTTTGATTTAAACCCTAACTTGCAACTCATTGTTCCAGTGTTACCAAAACAGTAAAAAGTAGTCATCTCTGTTGGGATGAAAAGGTAACTCTAATACAGGAGTCCACTGTGTGCGAGCTCCAAGTGTCTCCGGAGGGACAACACTGGAGCTGTGCTGGCAGATTTGGAAACAGGCCAAGGGCCCATCAGAGCATAGACATCAGAGCATGGGCCAGTTACCAGCAACAGAGCCCCATGGCCAGTTTGATTGAAACATTATGTAAAGGACAATATCACAGAGCACTGTACCATACACTAATCATTTGAGGCATGCCGCTGTGGCTATCAGACTCGACTCCAGCTGGGATAATGAGGGGCATGCTGGTAATATGGTTCAACGCGGGGCTGTTTCTGCACCGCTAACGGATGGTCAGTCATCCATCCAACACTTTGGTCCACTTATCTGAGCAACTTTTGGCCATGACATTTTAATGTGGGTATTCATGGTCCCCTTAATGAGTTCTGGTGACCTCTGACCTTTTATTTAACGCTAACTTCAGCCTTAAAATGTCTTTTGCCAACACTTTGGTCCGTAATTAAGTGATTTGAAAGTGAAAATAAGATGACAAATGACCTCCAAATTAAAGCCAAGATTTCCACTCGATTTGGGTTGATCCACAAATGATGATTAATAACATTTTCTTTGACCGTCTGACCTTTTCCAGTCCACCGCCAGGCCAAGATTTCACCACACAAGTAATATCAAAACTGAAAGTACAGATTATATATCACATATCCTACATTTCCCAAGTGGTGGAAAGTACATCTAATCAAGTACTGTTCCTAAGTACAAATTTGAGGTACTTTATGATGTCTATACCGTTGATGATGGTGATTTTGTTATGATGACAGAGATCCTGTAATCAACATTGTACCCTTCTTTGTGTATGTATGCAGTTTAATTTGTTTTGTACTGTTGTTACTGTGGTTTAGTACCCTGTGTAGGTTGTACACCAGTGACTACTGCTGTTGGACCTCACTGTATTTGGGTCTCCCACACTCCTCCATACTGCCTTTGCTGTTCTATGTATCGCTCTGCACCTCGTTGTAAAACCAATTGTCCTCCAGGGAAAGAAATAAAGTTGAGTAGTATTTCCATTTTTATTGAATTTTATACTTCCACTTAACTGCATCTCAGAGGAAAATGTTGTACTTTTTACTCCACTATATTTATCTGACAACTTTAATTGCTATTTACTTTTTAGATTACAGTTTTTTATACGCTTCCTGTCCAGTGAAAACAGTGTACTTCCAAATATGGTGATTTTGAATGTGAATTTTTCTGATAAATTGCGGAATTAAGTGTTCCTTAGTGGGTTAAGGAAACTGTCTTCCTCTTAAGCTAAATAAACTTCTTAGGCTAAATAAACTATTTAAAAAACCCCTTGGATAAGTTTGAAAATGAATCACCATAAAGCTGTTTTTCTGACTTATTAGAGGTATGTGGTTCTCACAGGAGAGCTACACTACTTACATATGATGGTTTAGAATATATAGAATAATATAATAGGTATAGAATATGACACACTGCTGTAGATTAAACTACCTATCAGTGGATAAAGTTATTAAAATGTGCTCAACCTTAAATATCTGCAGCAGTAAAATGTAACGTACACATTAATGCAGCAGTATTTGATCCAAAAACATCAGATATAATAGTAAAACACAGACAGGACTAAGTACATTTCGCTGGTAACACATACTTTTACTTAAGTGAGGTTTTAAATGAAAGACTTTTACTTGTGGTGGAGTATTTCCAGTGTATGTTTTTAGTACTTTTACTTAAGTAAAGGATCTGAATACTTCTTCTATCACTGTAGTGTCTGAATTGCCTCTCCAGTGTTTTCCTCTCTGCCTGGTGTACACTCACATAACAGCACATGAAGAGTAAACTAATCTTCCTATGAGAAATTGGTGGCATGCTCCTTGTAAAGTTGTCTAATTGCACAAAATAATGTTCATTTCTCATTTCAATGTTGGATATTTTCACCTTCTGCAACCTCTAAAAGCTTAAAATCAAATAATCTAAGACACAAATCACAACTCATGCAGGCAGACATTGATTCATTTCAAGGGGTCACCAGGCAGTTATGTTAGAAACTACTGGATGAGCCTTTTCAAATCCTCTTGCACCACCCTCAGGCCACAACTTCAGCTTGCTTTTTTTAACACAAGAAATAATGGCCAGACTTGTGTGAAATTTAAAGGGCACATTTATGCTTCTAAGGGGATAAATCCTTGTGATTCTAATGATTCTATGGCCTTTTGTTCAGGATCACCCTCAGGGCAAACTTTCCATTTTTAGCCCCTCTACTGGCAGGGCTTTAAGATGGCTTTTTCTCCAAGAATAGTGTGATGTAATGAACATTTCAACATCCCGTGGAGCTTTAGCTTTAGCTGTTATATGTTTTGATGAAACACACTGACAGCCAATAAGGTGTTTTTTTTAATTCTAATATGTTTCATGTTAAGATTTTAAAATAAACAGACAATATGTGACAGATTAAAATGTAAGATTTTAGTCATCGTGTGTAAAGATGATTCTTTCCTTTGCAGATTTTGACTGTAAGCCAGATAATATTTAAAATATACCCCACAGCACCACAGATGGATTTTAGTACCTTATGTTGTATGAATGTTATTCCTCTCGGCCTTTCTAGCTTTAGGCAGTTGGAAGGTGCCACCTTCTGGTCATTTTCAGGAAGTTTGCGTCTGTGGTTTCTGAATATATTCTATATATATACACATTGATATACATATCAATAGATTAATATGTATTTGTTCATTTTATTGTTTAGAAAAATACTTTTTCAAGCAAGTTAAATAGAAAGAAAATATATTTATGATGACTGCAGGACTTTCTGTGTATGAAACTAAAAGAAGTTCACCCAAGTACAATACTTGTCTTTATACATGTATTGCACCATCTATTTAATAACACTGTTGATATTCACTGCACTGCGATACACATTAGGCCCTTGTCGGACTCTCTGTGGCTGATGGGATATTTACCCTGGGGCCAGTGATGTCATTAGCTGGGACTTGTTTTTGTTTGCATGAGTCTGTTTTGTCTGACAGTGTTGACTGGGAACCAGCAGCGAACAGTGGGCGCCACTTTATTATTCAGTGGTGTAGTGCACTTATTTTTCAGTCAGCATTCACTTCTGAATCCCCTCTGATGTGTGTGTGTCATTCAGTAGTGTTATGAACGCTGAATCTTTTTCCTAGGATGGCGAAGACATGACATAGTTTTACAGTTTTCATATGGGGATTGAATAAGGAATACTACACTCAAAATGTATAATTATAGGGCTGCCTGGGTGGCTCACCTGGTGGATCTGGCTCTGCTCTGGGGCTGAGTCCTTGTTGCAGTGGCCCAGGGTTCTGGTCCGACCTGTGGGCCTTTGCTACATGTCATCTTTCCTGTCACTCTTCAGCTTTCACTATCAATTAAAGGCAATAAAAGTCCAAAAATATATGTACCGGTTTATTAAAAAAACTGTATAATTATGCAGTTTTCTCTCCCGTCTGGTTGGCCAGTACTGATTGCAAAATCTGCACCTCCTCTGTGGCTAATGTTAATTTCATAATGATCCTGAAGTCAAGCAGTACAAGTGAAGTGACGATGTGGACGAGCTAACGATGTGCAGGAGCTCCCTATGCAAGAGTCGCCATACATGTCACTGTTTATAACACAGGGTGTTGTTTATCCTTCCCTGGACTGGCCTCTTTAAAAACTAAATTTAGGGTATGAATTAAGAATGTACCCACTTCTACACTACACTACTGCAAAGGCCTGGAGCTGGACTGAAGGAACTCTGGGAACAAACAAGGCCTAAAATATTTTGCATCACATTAATTAAATCATTATTTGTCTAAATCTTTTGCTTCATTTCTAAAAGTCTCTCTGCTAGTTCTCTGGTATTTGTTTAACAGCCAAGAGGGATGCACTGATAGCTGACGGCATCCTGTTTGGTGCGGTGCCTGGGTGGTAGAGTCCCTGTGTGTGAAAAGATTAATGTATCACAGCAGTCAAAGGTGAGCTAGAGTGACCTCCATCCTTGGCCTTCCTCGTGTTCACATGCCCCAGTCCTGTGAAACAAAAAACCCTTCTACAACTGACCATAACAAACTTCACCCAGGTTTGTGTGCAGATTAGATACGTTTCTTCTTTTATTCACCAGCGAAAGGTTTGGAGGAGATTTTCTTTTACAAATCTAACTAATCTTTACCCATCTTCTAGCATTTGGCCAAATCCAAGACTCCTTATCAATAAAAACAAAAAGTTTATTTTGAAGCTGTGGGCAGAAATGGTACCCTAACTCTGGAGAACAGGTACGAGGGAAGCACTCTGTTGCCCCACACCCACCTGTTACCAGAATTTGACCTCATTTAAAGCAATATTAAACATATCTGGAGTTAGACAATAGGCATCAAAATATTTATCAATAATTAATGAATAATAATATAGTTACTACACTACGCACCAGGACAGACCTCAAGTCTGAAAAAGATAGTCAGGTTCTCTGGATCGTAACAAACAGAGTGACTCCAGTGATTTTACACATAAAGATCAGTTTATTATAAGTGTATTTGTAATGGGAAGAACTACACAGCCTCTAATTAATAATGTCTTCCTTGGCCCCGGAGGAGTTTTTTAAGTCCAAGTAAACAACCCTCTCTCTATCTCAGCTTGAGCTCGAGAACCTCAGATTTTTAATGGAAAGGCTGTGTGTGGAGTTTGAAATATG